GCTGGAGCAGCAGCGGCTGCCAGAGCTGCTCCCTGCGGAGTGACGGGCTGCTGCTGAGGTTGCTGCAACAGCGGCTCCCCCTGCTGCCTCTCCAGCCTCATCGTGCACTGGCAGGGCATGCTTCTGTGCACGGGCCCACGAGCTCTCCAACTTTCAAGCACTTTGTGCAGAAGTTGCAGCGCATGGGTCAGCAGGAGGTCCTCTTTGTCTTCTTCTGGCAGGGCATAATCTCCACGCTGGCCTCTGGTGAAAGTCACCCCAGGGGGTTGCTCCTCTGGATCTTCCAAGTGTCCAACACCCAATGACAATGTGGCTTGGACTGGATCCTCGAGGCGCAGCTCTTCCAACCACTCAGTCTCCTCACGGCATCGGTGTGGCTGTGGGGGCTCCAGACTCTTCCTGATCACTGTCGTGAGTGGACATTGTGTGCTCAGCCCCCCTTGGTAGACTGGTGTCTCCGGGTTGGCTGATAATGCAGATCTTGCTTAATGTGAGGCCTCCTCTCTTCAATACCCAAGAAAGAAAACCTCTGACTTCATTGAACTGGGAAAAGAGTGCCTTTTATACGGAGTCTGAATGGATAGAAGCGAAAGCAAGCAAGATCTGAGTCAAATGTTACAGACTGAATAATTCCTCAAAACCCCCCCCCCCCCCCCCCAGGATCCCAAGCCAAATGTCCAATCAACAACCAAGATTTGTATGTGTAAGATTCAATGTCAGGTATTTTGCCCACCTGGAGTCCAGGACGTTTGGCCTTGACAAGGTGTAAGCAATTCCTCGCAGCAGTTAAATCACCAGAGCAAAACTCCCATTCAGTTTACAGAGTACATCTTCACTCCAGCTCGCTTCCCCATCCCAAATACCATGCCCTCCCTCCCCGTTACTATGGCAGCCGATATCAAGCATGCATTAGTCAAATCCCATGCTGGAGATCTGGCTGACAATAGAAGTATTCTGGTATTTGAGGGGTTGCCACAAAAAAGAGGGGGTCAAATTATTTTCCAAAGCACCAGAAGGCAGGACAAGAAACAATGGTTGGAAACTAACCAAAGAGAGAAGCAACCTGGAATTAAGAAGAAACTTCCTAACAGTGAGGACAATCTTTTTATCCAAAATATTTTTTTTATTTTTTAATTATATAAAATACAAAGAAGAGAAGGGTGGAAAGGGGAATTTAAGGGAAGGGCGCAGGGAAAAGGGGGTGTGAAATACTAGAAGAGAAAAAAGAAGAGAAAAAAGGAAGAAAAGGAGCACTGACTTCCAACTCTTCTTAGCATAGTACAAAATAAACACACTCCAACCTCAGCTTTTTGCTTTTACACGTTAATATATAACTAGCCATTCCTATAACATCAAGTCTTTCTAATCAGCAAAATCAAAGTCAAAGTTTCATTTTGTTTTCTTCACAAGCACAAATTCCAGAAGTGATATCGAAATAAAAATGTATTTTCCTCTTTGAATAAAATAATCAATTTAACCATTATTGCTTTATCTTCCTTGCTGTGGGAATAATGTGGATTTCTATTTGCACCTAGTAATCTTTGTGAACTGTCCCAGTGAACTGTCGTGTGTGTGTGTGTGTGTGTGTGTGTGTGTGTGTGTGTGTGTAAAAATTACATTACATTTTCAAATTTTGGGTTAAACCTTTCAGTCGCACATACCAAGCACATGAAAATCCAATTAACTCATTAAGTTTAAGTCACTCTTTCCAGCTTATCTTCATGAAGTAGAATATTTTTCTTCTCTGAAAGTTTTATCAAAGACTTATAAGCAAATGACCAGCTGTCTGCAAGGAATATAAACCCTTCCATTCCCCGCCATCCAGTCAGAGCTGAAGAAGATTCTTGGATGAGAAGCGAAATGACTTCAAAGAAAAAACAAGAAAGTCCAGTTGCCTCCTGAAAAAGCACCTTTGGGACTAGGAATATTTTGGCAAACTCCAAGTGAATTCCATACCCCCAGGGTTATTTGATAAAAGGTTTATCCCAATGATGTTGGAGCAACAGCAGCCCACTAGGAAGAAATAAAAGTTCTCTGAATGCATCTTCTGTCAGCTTTGGAAGCCATTTTAGCACCAGGCACTTCCACACTGCCACATTCTTGAGCCTGGGAAAATGGGAGGGGGGGAATTTCTTGGAGCGTACATGGTTAGACATAATAGCATTCTTCTTCTAAGTCAAGGTCATGTTATTTCTGCACCAGGGCTGAGGAGTGGTTGAGGGGACATCTCAAGTTGGGATGGATGGTGATTGGGGCATGTGATGCAATGAGGGGTGCAGGGGATGGATTTGTAATTTTTTACTTATTGAAGGGAAACCGGGAACTTTCAGATTCAAGATTTCCCAGATGTGCCAGTTTACTATCCAATTCAAACAGAACCTTTGAGAAGATGTCTGTCTCAGAGTTATTGATTGGGGTTGAGGTTTTCTGGAACACTGACATTTTCCTTTATCAGCTAAACCCCAGTAAACACCAGAGCAGATACCAATTGTAGATCTCACCGCAGCCGCAGACTAAGCCATCAGGAAGAATAAACTGGCAGAATGAGAGGCACAACCATGGAGAATGAAGGGATCTGCAGCCTTTGTCAAGGCCAAAAGACTCCCCACTCCAACTTCACAATGCAAGAAAGGGGAGCAGTGACATCCCTAGGAAAAGACATCTTGCCAACTGATAAATGAAGATGCATTGTTATCCTGAACACAGATGACTACAATGCCAATATGGACTCTTTTCTGAAGAACACTATTACCTGAAGAGAGATCCTACCAGCAGGTCATTGCTTTCCTGAAACAACTACTGAAGGGCAGTGCCATTGACAAGCCACAATATTATCCCCTTCACCCTAAGGATGCCACTCCATGCATGTATGACCTCCCCAAAGTCTACAGTAGAATAGAATAGAATTCTTTATTGGCCATGCGTGATTGGACACACAAGGAATTTGTTTTGGTGCATATGCTCTCAAAGATACATACATCAAGAATCATAGGTATAACACTTAGAAGTAGTCATAGGGTACTATAAATCATACTAGGAAATATAAATCAAACATGTACACATCATATATATACATATATGTATACATATCTCATATATAGGAAACATAAAACATATAAATCATACTAGAAAACATAATAAGCTAGGGCCTATCATATCATACTCGTAAACAGTCAATAAAATAAAATAAATCGTATGGATACAAGCAACAAAGTTATAGTCATACAGTCATAAGTGGGAGGAGATGGGAGAAGGGAAGATAAGATTAATAGTAATAGTAATGCAGACTTAGTAAATAGTTTGACAGTGTTGAGGAAATTTATTTGTTTAGCAGAGTGATGGCGTTCAGGAAAAAAACTGTTCTTGAAGGGACTCCAAAGAGTCACATGACTCCATCAGACCAATTGTCAGCAGCATCAACTCTGTCACCTACAACATTACAAAACATTTAATCACCTTATTAGTTTCTCTGGTTGGCAACACCAACTATTGAACTATTCCAAGTTAGGAAGAACAAAGATCTGGAAATCTAGCTACATCATATTAGTTGTGTAGGGCAGTGGTGGCTAACTTTTTTGGGCTCCTGTGCCAAAAATTGCACCCGCACTAGCACGTGCCAGCACCCAAAATGCACTGCCCCTCACACCCCCTGCGCATGCATGGGCAATCCCCCATGCCACCCCCTTACCTGCACTGTGCCTCACAGCTGATTTTTCGGCTGGTTTGAGGCCTTTTTTGGCCTCCCAGAGGCTTGGAAAAAGCCTCTGCAAGGCTTTTCAGGTCGAATAATAGGCCCATTTCGTCACGTCCGGAATTACAGTGAGTGACGAAATGGGCCTATTCAACCTGAGGCTTGCAGAGGCTTTTTCCAAGTCTCTGGGAGGCTGAAAAAGGCCTCAAACCAGCCAAAAAATCAGCTGTGAGGCACGCACATGCGCAGTGAGGTAAGTTTGCCTGCAGCTTGTGTGCCAGCACAAATGGATCTGCGTGCCACTTGTGGCACGCGTGCCATAGGTTCGCCATCACAGGTGTAGGGATAAAAGATTGCCAGTAGATGAGCTATAATGGGAAGTAGATTGAGATATTTTATCTCCCCTTTGCATTCATTAAACTTTTGTGGACTTCTGTTAACTGTAGCATGTTGTCAACCAAGTTTCTGCTTTCTTGTGTTTGACCACAGGTCTATTTGGCTTCTATCACACTAGTGTTATCTGAGTTCACTATTCAATTCAAATATCTGGACAGTTTGTAGTTTTCCTTGCACGATTTTGGAAATGGACTGCCCTTGGCTTCTTTTTCTTCTTCCTAGGGCTGAAGGAGAGGGACTGGCCCAAGGTCACCCAGCTGGCTTTGTGTCTAAGGCAAGACTACCAAACTGGTTCCCTGAGAGGGTTAATGAAGAGTTTAAATGGCCATCTGCCTGCAATGCTTTCATTTGGTTTCCTAAAGGAACCTCAAGTTTACCAGTTCTTAGATTTGGTATTGCCTACGAATAGATTTTCTCTTTGCTTCACCCCCTACATCAACAAAGGTATGACTTCTTGGGGAAGGGGGGCACTAGCTAGCCTACAACTGGGAGGGGGGGCTTCAGACAAATTGGCTTTAAATTGTTCCAAGTGGGGTCAGATGTATTCATGGAGAAGACATGAATAAAGAGAGAGCGCTCTTGTAATTAAATGGTTGTCCAATCTCTTCTTAAAAATTTCCAGTATGGAGCATTCACAACTTCTGGAGGCAAAATCTTTCCACTGATTAATTGTTCTCACCGTCAGGAAATTTCTCCTCCTATTTCTAGATTTTACTTGTCTCCTTGATTCATTTAGAGCTGCTCCAAGTTACCCTGGGGAGGGCAGGTGACTTACGGGTGGCCTGCGACGTTCTGGCACCTGAAATCCCAAATTCTGACAAAATTGGGAAGCGCAACTCGAGGAGGAATCGCTTCTGCTGCGAAAGCGAAAGGAAAAAGCGACGGTCTCTTCGCATTGATTGGACTTGTTAAAGAGGGAGGTTGTTTTGGTAACGGTCGCAGACCCGGAGACCCCAGGAGAAGTGGGGAGTATATGATTTAGGCTCAACGCTGCAAAATGCGGGAAGAGGGGAAAAAACCCTCGGGCGCTGCACGCTCAGGTGGGGAAGGGGGCTCGGCTCTGGGTCTGATGGGCTGGGTGGGGGAGTCCTTGGAAAGCCGGAGGCACTGCTGCCTGGCGCGGGGGATTCCCCCGCTTTGTTAACGCTGCGCTCCGTTATGCGGCTGCGCCTTTTTATCGCCAAGTCGGAACAAGGGAAAGGCGAAAACGTTGTACAAAGCTCCCTCAAGCGAGCAATTCTTTTCCTGGCAGGCGCGTTAACCACCGCGCTATCGGTTCCAGGAATAAACAAAATTATGTGTGGGGGCGGTGGCGGGGAGGGGCTGGACGCAGTTGCTCAGAAAGGACAGGCAGGTTACCTTTTTATTTTTCGGACGAAGAGCTGCAAGGTTTTGAGGTCTAACAAAGATTGGAAGGGCGGCCTGGATAGTAGGTTTAATCTCAGTACGTCTTTTGCGGGCGGACTCACAGCGGGGCTGCACAGCCTCCATTGAGGCGTTATGGAAAAACCTGCCCGTCCTTTAGCATGAGGGTTAATTAATCTCCGGGATTTTTTTTTCCAGCAATAACTTCCAGGTGGAGAAATGGAAGAGTTCATGTAGGGGTTCTCTGGGTTTGGGGGCTTTATTTTACAAGCAGGGGGTGCGCTACTAAGTTGCACTTGCTAAGGATATGTGTAATGCAATGATTAGTAGGACTAATTGGGGTGGCACTGTTAATCTCAAATTTCAGGCTCCATTATTAGCATTTTATAAGGTTATATTAGCACTTTTAAGGTGGCAGTTTTTTTTTCTTTTAGGAAACATGTTTTTCCCTTCTTAGCCAAGGACATTTCTTTGTCATGTGAGAACTTGCTTTTTTGGCAACTGCACAATAGATATCAGATTCTGAAAGTCCTTGAATACATTTGCAAGTTTTAAGAAAGATAGAAATGCAGCTGGCAAAGAGCAAGATAACCCATAAATTTCTGGATGACCTTGGGAATATTTTCTATGTTGCTAAGTGAGAAATTTATTGAGTTTTGCCCCATTTTATGACTTTTCTTACCGCATTTGTTAAGTGAATTGTTGCAGTTGTTAAGTTAGTAACACAGTTGTTAAGTGGTGAATCTGGTTTCCCCATTGGTTTTGCTTGTCAGAAGGCTGCAAACAGTGATCCCATGACGCTGGGACACTGCAACCTTCATAAATATGACCCAGTTGTCAAGCATCCGAATGTAAATCGTGACCATGGGGATGCTGCAACAGCCATAAAAGTGCAAAATGATGATAAGTCACTTTTTTCAGTGCCGTTGTAATTTAGAATGGTTACTAAACAAACGGTTGTAAGTTGAGCACTACCTATAAACGCTTTTTGCTTTGCCTGAATTTATTTGGTGTTTTGTATTTCCAGGTGGGCAAAGAAGTCTCCTTTGCAAAGGTAAAATTCTATCTTTCCCATTGAAGTTTTTATCTGCTTCACACCAAACTCTGGATGCCTGAGTTTCTATGCAACAGCCCAACCCTATTCTATTTTAGGAAGAAGATTAAGATAAAAATAGATCTGTATATTCAGCACTTTGGGTAGGATGGGGGTGTTGGTTTTTATCATGCTAACTACTGGATTGAATTCACTGCTTTAAATGTTTGTAAGTTCCTTCCTGCATCCTGTTTAGAATTCTCCCAAACACCTTCCATGCATGCTTTACAAACTAATCTCTCTGTATTTTTAATTAGCACTCCTGTCCACTTTCTGTTGAATGGAGAACAGGGTACCTGAGGGATCGCCTTTTTTCCCAAAGTTTCTACGTATCCAGTTAGATCAAATAGGACAGGCATGTTGCAGATCCATCAGCCAAAGAATGTCAGCTAAAGGGGACTAGGAAGACAAGGTGTTTTTTTCTACAGCAGCCCTTGCTTTGTGGAATCCTCTCTTTGGAGATTAGAGTGGTCCTAACTCTATTAGCCTTCCATAAAACTTTTAAAACCTGGTTATGCTCCTGAGTCTAGGGCCCACTACATGCACTAAGACCCTCCTCTCCTGGCTATATGGTTAACAGGCCAGGTGTCTTGCTTATTATGTACTCAAATTAGACGTTTTTAATCTTTTTTATTATTTTAATGGTTTTTTTTTACTGTTTTTGTTTTAAACTATTTTTAAGTTTTAATTGTAATATCTTTTTGCAGGTGAGCCGTCCAGAGTCAGCTGAGATGGGCAGCTATAGAAATCAAATAAATAACAACAAAAATAAAACAAATAAATATGGGGTTCTTTGAACAGGTGCAATCCTCACACACATTAAAAATGGAATATGTATTTTATAATTACATTGTGTGCTTATGTTTTTACTCTTATTCAGGTAACATGTTTTCAATATTCCTACATCATTTGTTTTCAGCATTTGTGGTGTGGTGGTGGACGTAATATTTTAATCTTTAAAGCATTCTTAGTTTCCATATTTTATCATATTAGTTTCATAAACATCTCCAAAATCATACTTTGATCATTCCATTTCTTCTATTCCATTCTGAATTGTTTCATTACTTTTATATTTATTTTCATTTGCTGTTTTAAGCACTGCTTAATTTCCTTTATCCACTTCTAAAACTATTTTATCCACTTTAAAACTATTTCTACCACAATCCTGTGTTTCTCTGATTAACTGTTCATTGTTTTCTTTTACCATATTTCTGCAACTGTCTTTTCTTCTTATATATATATTAATATGTCTATCACCTTCATTTTTTGCTTTGGGTGGGGGCACAGCACTATTGGATGGAAAGGAGGGGCGGGTTACCTTTTTAGGTCGAAGAGCCACAAGAGTTTGAGGCCTAAGAGGCTGAATAGTAGTTGGCCAAGCTCTTTGAAGCTTCTCAAACAGGGTGCCTGGTTTTTTCCCCCCAGCAATAACTTTGCAGTTGAGAGATTAGAATTCATGTTGGGGTTCTCTGGGTTTGGGGGCTACATTACACTGGAAGTTTTCAAGAAGAGATTGGACAACCATTTGTCTGAAATGGTATATAGGATTTCCTGCCTGAGTAGGAGGGTTGAACCAGGGGTGGGATTCTACCAGTTCGGCCCGGTTCTGTAGAACCGGTTCTTACCATTCCCGGTAGTTCGGAGAACCAGTAAATCGGGCCTCTGGCTGGCCCCGCCCCTCTCTGCCCGCTTCTCCACTGCCTGCCCATCAGTCCTTATCACGCATGCGCGACATTGCACACATGCACAACACTGCTGCCTGCAGCCTGTTCTTGCATGCCCGCCAGGCCAGCCATTGCTACCCGCCTTCTGCTGTGGTTCTGCCTTTACTGATGTCCCTGGGTAAGTGAGTCTCTGCAAGCCCCAGTCGCCTTCCCCCACCCCTTTTGCTGCTGCCACCAGTTGCCTTTCCCAAATCACTTGCCTTCCACCAAGGAACACGTGGAGAGGCTTTTATAGATCTGGTCAGGTCAGTGGCTGCTTCTCTCACCTGCTGCTACACAGCGGAAAGCTTCCAAGTCCCTCCCCTCCCATTAGAAATGGCTCCCGGGCAAGCAGAGAAGCAAGCCAGGTTGAATCCTGCTTCTCTCTGCTTGCCCAGGAGCTGTTTCCGATGGGGGGGTGATTCGGAAGCTTTCTGCTGTTTTGGGAAACTCTTGCTCTCCTAAAAACAGCAACAGGTGATAGAAGCAGCTGCTAACCTGGCTGGAGCCTCCATGAGCCTCCACGTGTTCCTTCCTGCTGCTGTTGATGGGACACGAGTTTCCCAGCACAGAGGAAAGCTTCCAAGCCCCCCCCTCCCATTAGAAATGGCTCCCGGGCAAGCAGAGAAGCAAGCCCGGTTGAATCCTGCTTCTCTCTGCTGCCCGGAAGCTGTTTCCAATGGGAAGGGGGATTTTGAAGCTTTTCGCTCTTGGGAGAGGCTCCCTCGCTTCCACAGCAAGAGCAGGTGAGAGAACTGGCTGAACAATGATCGCCAACTGCGGTGGAAGCGACCCTTCAGGTGACTCTCCTCCCCCTCTTCTCATGACCGGTGGCTGTGGTGGGGCGGGGGAGTGCACACGTGTGGGGAGACCCTCAAACAAGTGTCAAAGCACAACAAAACTGGGCATGGGGCGAGCGGCTGCTCGCTTGAGGAGGGTCTCCCTGTGCATGTTCACCCACCTGGCTCCGCCACAGCTGCCAGTTATGAGAGGGGGAGGAGGAGAAGGGTCGCCTGAAGGGACACTTGCACCGCAGCTGGCAATCATTGTTCAGCCAGTCTGGATTCCAAAAAGAAGAAATGAAAGAAGTAGCGAAGAGCTCCAAGGAAAGCTTGCTGGCTTGGCCCAGCCCTGGCTTTGAGAGACAGACAGACAGACAGACAGACAGACAGACAGACAGACAGACAGACAGACAGACAGACAGACAGACAGACAGACAGACAGACAGAGACACAGAGTGGGGGAGAGAGAGAGGAAGATAGGGAGGGGGCAGAGAGAGACAGGGAGAGATACAGAGGGGGGAGATAGAGCCATAGAGAGAGGGGGGGAGAAAGAGAGAGGGAAAGAGAAAAAGAAAAAGGGAATAAGGAAGAGAGAGAGACAAAGAAAAAGAAAAGACAAAGAAAAAAGAAAGGAAGCGAAAGGAAGAAAAGGGATAGACAAAGGGAGAGATGGAAGGAAGGGACAAAGAGAAAGTGAGGGAGGAGAAAGAGATATATGGGTGGATAGATAAATAGATGAAGGGAGGGAGGGAGAGAGAAAAAAAGGAGAGGAAGGAAAGACACAAACCTTCAGAAGACTCTTTGAAGCAGCACAGCAATCTAGGACTGGCCTGCAAGGGATCTTGGAGGTCATCTAGTCCAACCCCCTCCTCCAGCAGGAGATCCTTACAGAATCATAGAATAGCAGTGTTAGAAGGAGGTTTGAATGTGTGTGTGTGCGCGCGCGCGCACATGCGTGCATGCATGGCTGTCAAAACTCCAAAAACAGGTCAAATAGTTCTGGGGAGATCAGTCATAAATTAGAACACTTGCTAAGCAACTGGCGATTAAGTGAGGACCACTTATATTTGGTTTGCCAGTCACATGGCCACCTGGCCATGCCCACCAAGCCACACCCACAAATTAAGCCATGCCCACAGAACCGGTTGTTACAAAATTTGAATCCCACCCTGGGTTGGTCTAGAGGACCTCCAAGGTCAGGGGTGGGATTCAACCGGTGTAACTACTGGTTTGGTGATTACGTTTTGCAGAGCTTCCCTCACGGTTGTCGGAGGATTTTCTTCGCGGTTTTTTTTCTTCTCCAGCTGCTTTCGGCGCTTTTGATTCGCAAATCAGAACAAGGAAGAAGCTAAGAAGAGTAGAAAACGTCACCTGCTGAGGAGGGGCTGCCAGGTGTTGCTCGCAGGAAGGAAGGGAGAAGCGGGTAACTTTGGCAGCATGAACAGATATGGAAGCCGCTCTAATGTTTTCTCACCCAGGACTGGGAGTAAATACTGTGCAAGAGCCGGGATGGGCTGGCACCAGTCGGTGGAGGAGGATCAGGCTTCTGGCTGCAGCCTAACGAGGCTGAACAGGCTGCCTGTAGAGAGCATTGTTCCACCCACCCCAAATCTGCACGCGTTTCCCACTCGTGAATCTCAGTGAGGTTGGCCGCCTCCCTTTGAGGCGAGTCCAGAGGCATTCCTGCCTCTTTGTCTGAGGGTGAATCGCTTTCTGACAACAACTTTGCCATGGAGAGACTAGAATTCATGTAGGGGTCCAGCCAGTTCGGGGTTTTTATTTTGCAAGCAGGAGGTGCACTAGTTTGGGTCACACACACCCAGGCTGCGAGTGCTGGTAAGGACACATGCAATGCGATGATTGTGAGGACTGCTTGATTACATTTTGGTGAGTAGGTGTGTTTTCTAGCCCTATGTTAACTTTCATGCTGTGGGTGTAAATTTGGCATTTTTGTCCCCCTATCGAGTTCTTCCCAAGGACAAGGGATAGGCAGATGTTGATGTTGTATGGCAAGGGTCTTCAAACTTGGCAAGTTTAAGACTTGTGGACTTCAACTCCCAGAATTCCCGAGCTAACATGACTGGAGGAGGAATTCTGGGAGTTGAAGCACTGTATCTTACTAACTACAGTGTAGTATAAATCAAGGGTCTTCAAACTTGGCAAGTTTAAGACTTGTGGATTTCAACTCCCAGAATTCCTGAGCTAACATGACTGGAGGAGGAATTTTGGGAGTTGAAGTCCACAAGTCTTAAAGCTGTGAAGTTTGAAGGCTCCTGTTTTACGGTGTTAAATGAGTTGTCACAGGATGTAAGCTGTTCCAAGTAAAGCTGCCTTTTGCAATTGACTGGTCGTGATCTTATCAATGCCGATGGTGCTAGATTAGATTAGATTAACAGAGTTGGAAGGGACCTTGTAGGTCATCTAGTCCAACCCCATGCCCAAGCAGGAGACCCTGCTACACCATTTCTGACAGATGGCAGTCCAAATGGTGCTCCAATTGTTTTCAGATTGCACCAAAGGCAGTTATGACTATTGGTACTACCTTTGCTTTATTTTTCCCCACAGTCTTTCTATTTGAAATTCTTTATTTTTTTTTCATTTTCTCCATTTCTTTCTCTTCTATTATGCTGCCTCCAGGTACTGCAACTATCTATACTTTGTTGTCTTTCTGATTGGTGGTTATTTCATTTGGGCTGTTATATGGCAGGTGCCTGTCCATTTGAATTCTAAAGTCCCAGAGCAATTTAACTTCTTAATTTTCTGCTACTTTCTCAATTTTATGGTTCCATTTTTTTATTGTTGTTGTTACTCTCTAATCACAACAATGTGAAGCCAAAGCTGCCAGTTTTTTAAACTGGTGTTGATCTTCATATGCATCAAGTTCTTACTAAGAACCTCAGGATTTTGTACTGCTGTATACTGTATATATAGAGGGATCCAAACAGTGTGGCCTTGTGTAATTCACAGATGGAAATATCAATACACAGATCTAAGATTTTTTTTGGTATGGTACTCAGTCTGCTGATAACCACTGGAACCACTATGACCGGTTTATGTTATCTTTCCGTTTCAATTTTCAGATCTTGATACTTTCTGCTCTTTTCCAGTTCTTTGTCTTCTACTCCCTCCTGGTATTGTCACATCAATTATACAAACTTTCTTCTTTTCAGCCACTTAAATCTGATGTGTTATGATGTATTTGTATTTGGAAATCCTGCAATATTTTAACCTCATTTTCAACTTCCTTTTCAACTCATATGTTCCCACCAATTTTTCACTGCTGGCACATGAAAATGTTTACAGATGTTCCAGTGAATCATTTGGTGACTGTATTATGTCTTTGTTTATAATTTATATGTGTGATCCAGAGGTGGTATTCAGCAGGTTCTGACCAGTTCTGGAGAACCAGTAGCAGAAATTTTGAGTAGTTCGGAGAACCGGCAAATGCCACCTCTGACCGGCCCCATCCCCATCTATTCTCTGCCCCCCGAGTCCCAGCTGATTGGCTGGGTCTTCTTTTGTTGCCCTGCACAGGAGAACGGAGCTGGAAAGCAGGTTAGTGGGGTGGGGAGGGAATGGGGATTTTGCAGTAACCTTCCCCTGCCACGACCACCAAGCCACGCCACGCCCATAGAACTGGTAGTAAAAAATTTGGAATCCCACCACTGGTGAGATATTCTTACATGAGCTAAGTATATGATGATGTACTGTTACTTCTGCCTCTTTACACAATCTGTACTTTGACTCAATTGACGATTTTTCAATTCAGGCCTTAATTGAAGGAAGGAGAGCAACATGAATAGCTATGCAATGTGGAGGCTGAGTGGTTGCTTCTCGTCCGGGACTGGGAGTAAATACAGGTAGTCCTCGACTTACAACAGTTCATTTAGTAACCATTCAAAGTTACAACAACACTGCAAAAAGTGATGTTTGACCGTTTTTCACAGTTACCATCTTTCCAGCATCCCCATGGTCACGGGATCAAAATTCAGATGCTTGGTAACTGGTTCATATTTATGACCTTTGCTGGTCCCTGAGTCATGTGATCCCCTTTTGCAACCTCTGACAAGCAAAAGTCAGTAGGGAAGGCAGATTCACTTAACAACTGTGTTATTAACTTCTCAACTGCAATGATTCACTAAACAACGGAGGCAGGAAAGGTCGTAAAATTCAGTTAACAAATGTCTCACTTAACAACAGAAATATCTTGGCTCAATTGTGGTCGTAAGTCAAAGGCTACCTGTACAGTGGAAGAGGCGGGTTAGCATGCAGGTGTGGGTGGGCTCCTGGCTGAAGCCTAACAAGGCTGAACGGGCTGCCTGGACAGCAGTTGGGCCTCCTAGATTTGGGCCTACATGTAGTCTTCAGCTTAGACCATAACTGAGCCCAAAATTTCTGTGTCTAAATGAAACATTTGTTAAGTGAGTTTTGCCCCATTTTACGACCTTTCTTGCCACATTTGTTAAGGGAATCACCGCAGTTGTTAAGTATCACAATTGTTAAGTAAATCTGCCTTCCCCACTGACTTGTCAGAAGGCCGCAGAAGGGTATCATATCACCCCGGGACACTGCAGTCATAAATGTGAGTCAGTTTCCCAAATGTCTCAATTTTGATCCTGTGACCTTGGGGGTATGCTGCAATGGTCGTAAGTCACTTTTTAAAATCCATGTTGTAACTTTGGTCACTAAATGAACCATTGTAAGTCAAGGACTACCTGTATTTCAAGGCTGAGACTCAGTGGAGTTGCATTTTGAGGCTTGGGCAGAAGCATGCCAGGCCCCTTTGCCTAAGGGTTAATTATTTTCTAACAACAGCTTTGCTTTGAAGAGACTATAAAGTTTGTGCAGGGGTCCTGCGTGTTTGGGGGGCTTTATTTTGCAAAGCAGGGTGTGCTCTAGTTTGTGGTAGAATGATTAATAGGACTCATTGAGTACATTGTGGTGAGTAGGTGTGTTCTTTCGTCTTGTGATGAGGTTCCTGCTGTGGGCAGCATGAAGAAACACAGCGCTTTTTGTGACTGTGAGGGCTTTTTGGTTGTGAGGACTCCCACTGCAAGGGAGGAAAAACAGTTTTCCTTTAAACTCTTTTGTAACCATTTTATTAAACATTACAATTAAAAAGATAACTAAAGCCAAAGTAAAATAAAGAGAAAGGGAGTAGAAAGTGCAGAGAATGAAGGAAGAAAGAAAATCCGGAAAGTAATGACTTCCCCCTACATAATAAGCATAAGCAGTTTTAATAAATTATCACCGTCTCTAATATTTCAGCCAGAGATGTCTTCTTCCCCTATCTCATCTCTTTTTCTATAAACAAATCTTTAAAACCTCTTCACTTATTCGAGTTAACAAAAGTCCATCAAATTTACCAAAGATTATATCTATTCTAACTTTAATCAAATATACCAACTTTACTTTTAGTTTTAACAGTCTTCATGCTTAGTCTCCCCAAATAATGTCCTAGAAATTGATTTCTTGTTTTATTTTTATAGGAGCTTCACGTCTCTTCTGTCAAGCACTGCTCTCTGGCTAGTTTCTTGACTTGTTTTCCTTTTGCTATTTATTAATAGTTGATTCAAAAGGCAAAAGCTGTCTAATACTTCCATATGTTCGTTGTCAGTAGTAAGGCTGATTCTGATGTTAGTTGGTCTTTTTATTTTTTATTTTTGCAGACAGCTTGGAAGATGCCAGAAGAAATTAAAGGTGAGGAATTCAGATCTTTCTTTCACTAAGCTGAAAACTACAGAAAGCAGGAGAAAAGCTCTAGTAATGAAGTCAGAGGAAAACGCTTATTGGTTCTATGGCCGAAAAACATTGGTTTCTATTCTAAGCAAAGGAATCAAAATAAATAAAGCAGGCATGAATTGAAAAAGCAAACTTGGATGGGCAAAAGTTTTGACTTGCAATATCTGGAGATGACTTGGGAAGAGAAAACTGGTAAGAGAACTGGTTACCAGCAGGATTGTTTCCTTCAGTCATCCTCCATTCTTATGATACAAGAGCTTTATTGGAAATAAATATTCTAAATCTGGTGAACCAGGAAGAGCATTTGAGAGGAATATTCCAGGTGATCTGTGTGTGGTGATCTTAAAGCTTAGAAGATCATGCAGACCTTCTTGTGCAAAAGCAAGCAGGTCTTCCAATATGTCCCAAAAAAAGCCAATACCCCAGATCTAGGCCCGATTTTGTCCTATGACATGGGCACCACTTCCTAATATAAAATATTGCAAAATGTTCATCACTCATGAGATTTTTGGCAGTCACCTTGAGTTCTGCCTGTAAACTTTTCAGCGGTTGCAGGTTTTGGAGATCTTACGAGTTTCAGCTACTTAAAGTATTTCTTTAAATTGTTTTGACTGAGAAAGATATGGAGCCTCATTTGGGTATTGGGGGCAATGTCTTCCCAAGAGCAAAACTAGAACATTCTTGGGGTTTTTTTTGCCTTCTTTCAGGGGTAGAAGGAGATTCTGGGTATTGTGATTTGATTCCTGAGGTGACAACTACATCTGCCATGTTTTGTCTTCTGCCTTCCAGTATTAGTAGAAGGAGTTTCTCGATACTGTGATTGTTTGACTCCTGAGATGACAACTGCATCTTCTCCTGGAAGCTGTGATGAAAAAAGGGCAAGAAATGCTGGTCATAACAAAGGTGAACACCTGCCTGGGGCCCTTTGAGGGGAAAATATTAAAGTGGGTAGAGCCGTGCCACACCTAAGTAAAAATCAGAATTCTTTATTTATCTTCCTCCTGCCTTCTTTTGAAAAGAGAAACGTCGCACAAAACTATCCCAAAAGTGCTTTTTTCAGGAGGCAACTGGACTTCCTTGTTTTTTCTCTGAAGACATTTCGCTTCTCGTCCAAGAAGCTTCTTCAGCTCTGACTGGATGTTGGGGAATGGAAAGATTTATATTCCTTGCTTCCATTCCCCACCATCCAGTCAGAGTTGAAGAAGCTTCTTGGACGAGAAGCGAAACATCTTCAGAGAAAAAACAAGGAAGTCCAGTTGCCTCCTGAAAAAAGCACCTTTAGGACAACCATGACCTGGATGAGTGAGAATCTTTACAGACACAAAACTGACTTTAGGGCCAACACTACCTTTTGTGAGTTTCCCACATCACCTTGACAGGTATTTCCCATTTCCAGGGCAGAAACCCTGCCACTGACTTTTGGTAATTAGGGTTTGAGAGGGAAGTCCAGATCATCCATCTGAAGGGGGAAGGAATTGATATTGATGCCATTGTCTCAAAGAACAAGATCTGGTTAATTTTTGTAATGCTTTTGGAGAACATGAAGTTTTCCACTCTGCTCTTCTATACTTGAACTATACATTGTGATATTACATTTTAGGACTTGGATAAGGCGCTCACAATTGTTGCCGCCTTTTTCTTCCGACGGGGCTATTCAACATTTAAGAGTAATGGGATTGAGATTGATTGTGTGTCTCCCACAAATGTGAGAAGGATATACGTTATGAGCCATTTGAGAGCCAAGTCGTAAAATGGGGCAAATTCACATAATGTTTCACTTAACAACAGAAATGGGGTCAATTGTGGTCATAAGTCAAGGACTATCTGTATACTACAGTCTGAGTACAACCCTGGGTGGCTTATAAATCAATAAAAACTTAAAAAATTTAAACAATCAGAATCAGAATAAATTAAAGCTGGGAGGATCTTGGAATTCTTCTAGTCTAGTATTATTTCAGACATGTGACTGTCCAGTCACTTCTTAAAGATTTCCAGTATTGGAGCATTCACAACTTCTGAAGGCAAAGCTGTTCCACTGGTTAATTGTCCTCACTGTTAGGAAATTTCTTCTTAATTCCAAGTTGCTTCTCTCCTTGATTAGTTTCCATCCATTGTTTCTTATCCAGCTTTCAGGTGCTTTGGAGAATAGTGTTAGGGTTCCGGCAATTACTCCCAATTACATCATGAAGCTTGAGCCACACTCCCAAAACTAAAGAGGATTTATTTGAAGGTAACATTCTACGTCCGGCACTAATCTGGGCGTAGCCAACTCTGAGATATGTAATTCACTGTTATCCTTGATCCTGCTTCCCCCCCCCCCCTTCTGGGTGTATCATCCAACGAAAAACGTCCATAGCCAAGAGTTGTCAATCATGCTCTCCAATTAGATTTTTTCTGCAGCAGAAGCTTCAGCCATCTCATCAGTTTTAGAAGAAAATATGAATGGAATGTAGTTTCGATTTTGCCTGCTCTTTGAAACTCCCCCCCCCCCCCTTTTCTGTTGTCAATTATAAAATGTGTATACAAAATGAGTTGACAAATAGATTAACCCCCTTCTCTTTGTGGCAGCCCCTTAAAAACTGGAAAACCGCTATTATGCCCCCCCCCCCCTCCTCCCTTTCTCCAGACTAGCCAAACCCAAATCCTGCAACCGTTCTTCATGTGTTTTAGTCTCCAGGCCTTTAATCATCTTAGTTTCTCTTTGCACTTTTTCCAAAGTTCCAATATCATTTTTGTAAAGTGGTGACCAAAACTGGATGTAGTATTCCAGGTGTAACTTACTAAGGCTTTATAAAGTCATACTAATACTTCATGTAACTTTGATTCTATGCCTCTGTTTACACAACCAAGAATTGTAGTAGCTTTTTTGGGTGCTGCCACACAGTGCTGGCTCATGTTTTTTTTTTTAAATAAAGTTTTATTTGAGTTTTCACACATACAAAATACAAGTAAAACATCTTTTTTGAAAATAGCATGGTCCCGGGTTGAACTTCTTTATACAGACACAAAGCTCAATTTCATGCTCCTTTTTGTGTTCTATTCCATGTCTTATACTATTCTACATTTTCTATATAGTTTTTCCCCTCTTTTAATTTTCTCAATTTTACTTTGATTATCTCATCTCAATTCAAATCATTATATTTATACTTTTGTCTGTTCTGTTTCAATTTCATATTATCTTTTCTCATTAAACAAATTTTCTCCTGTAGTTACTAATTGGAGTATGACACCTTTATATCTTTTAATTACATCCATTCGACTCTTATTTAAACTTCAATATATACTTTAAGTTTATGACCTTCAATATAATACATAATACATTACTTCCAATCGAATTCTGCTTGGTACATTCTTATAATACACACTATATTCTTTTAAAAAAAAAGAAAGACTGTAAATATATGTAATTATAAACCCTCATTCCATTCCAGTTCAGTTCTATCATTAATAATCATTAAAATCTTAACATCTTTAACACTTCTTTTCAATTAAATATCATACTTCCTTAAAAACACATATAATCTCCATAATTAATTTTTCCCTTATTTCTCTTCACATATGTTTTATAAATAATTAAATATACCTTTTGTTACATTTATTTATTGACAAGCATTCCACTGAATTACGATAGCTATTTTATCAGACATTTTAATCATATATTGTTTCATATTTTCTAAAATTATTTCTGTTTCTAATATAACCATACTATCTTATGTACCTTTGCAGAATCCCTTTTTCCATTAGGTTTTCACCCATTATTAAATAGGCCCTGTTTCTCTATATTTATACCTTCTTTTCCTTTCTTTCTTCCCTCTCATCTTCTCCCTCCCCTTTTTACCCCCTTGTCTCTCTAGTTCTGATTCTCTCTTCTGCATTTCCCTCTTCTGTTGCTTTCTGATTTTATACTTCTTTTCACTCTTTTTTTTTTTTTTGGAGTTGTTTTTCCCAATCTTAAACTTTCCATTCTCTTTCTCCCTTTTCCTTTTTTCCCCCCATCTAAGATTACTTGTTCATTAAAGATGGCTTCTTCTTTGTCGCAATCTTCTTGTTCTGCAGGCATTTCTTGTTGTTTCTCATAATTCCAAATCTCCATTTCTAAAAACTGAAATACGAAGCCAAAAGAACCTCTCTCTTCTTGTGCATCTTCTTTGTACTTTTTAAGTTCCATTTTCAGTTCTTCTAAAAGTGGAGCCATTTTAAACAGTTTTAAACAACCACCCGATTAATTTTAGTCTTTCAAAACAATAACCAAGAATCCAGAAATCATCAAGTAATCCAGATAGTCCCGAGTTATATCTTCTTATTTCTTTTTCGACTTTCTCTTCCTGGGGTTTTGTTGCGATATTTCAGTTAGAATGTATCTTTTGGAAGTCTTGTTGAGATTTTACTGTAAGTTCTTTTTTAATTCGAGGCAGTCTCCTCCCTTCCAGATCCTGCCCTTTTATTCTTTTTCTCTCCTTTCCTGTTTTCAAAAGCTTTTAATTATCCAGAAATCTTTATTATCCCTTTGACTTTTTATTTTCAGCATTAAATGCCTATTGATGTCAAAGTGGATTTTTTTCCAATTTCTTGCTTGTCTCTTAGCTGTCAGTATAGGAAAAGGAGAAAACCAAATCTTTTCCCTTTTCTCTCTCCTTCACAGCTTAAAAATCTTAGGGAACAATGTTATTGTTTTTTAATAGTTTCAATTCCAGGGTACCTTATTTGTTGCTTTTGCTGTTTGACCCGGTCAACCAAAACTTTCTCTTCTTATCTTCCTCCTGCACATTCTTTTCCGGTCGAATTCTTCTTTGTGGTGGCCATTTCTGACCACCACTGCAACCACCTTCGGGAAAGGGAGTAATGGCCAGCTGGGGAGGAGAGATGCGGCTCTCCTCAACTCGGCAGTCTCCCCCCTCTTCACCACCTCTACGGGGTGGCTTAGCCCCGAAACCAGCCGGCTCAGGGTGCTCCAGCGGCGAGCATGGATCGAAGCCTCGGAGAGACGAGGTTTCGATCTGTCGCTGAAGAAGCTCAAACCGGAAGTCAGTGCTGGCTCATGTTTTAACTGATTGTCCACTAGGACTCCAAGGTCCTTCTCACAGTTACTGTTTTTGAGCCACGTTTCGCTTAATTTGTACTTGTATCTTTGGTTTTTCCTGCCCAGGTATAAAACCTTGGTTCACTCTACATTAAATTTCATTTTATTGGATAGGGCCCATTGTTCAAGTCTGTCAAGATCTTTTTGGATCCTGAGTTTGTCTTCTGGGGTGTTGGCTATTCCTGCCAGCTTAGTGTCACCTGCAAATTTGATGATTTCCCCTTCTATTCCCTCATCTAAGTCATTTATGAAAATTTTGAAGAGAACTGGGCCTAAGATGGAGCTCCTGATACCCCACTGCTTACTTTCCTCCATGTAGACGTAGTACCATTAAGGACTACTTGCTAAGTACGGTTAACCAGTTAAAAATGCATCTGGTGGTGATGCTGTTGTGGTCTTTGTCAAATGCCTTGCTGAAGTCTAAATCTACTATGTCCACAGCATTTCGTGAGTCTGTCAAAGAATAAATAATATAAATAAGAAAACCATAAACTTTACGTTCTAATATTTTTCTGTCTGTTTTTCAGGTCTCATACCTAAGTGCATTTCAGACAAACTATTCACTGTAGGAGCTGTTGTTGCAATTGCAACTTTGATCATTATTATCATTTCATTGGCTGGTAAGTAAGGAGAGATTTCTGTTTAATGTTCTCCATTTTGTTATTGTTATTGTTTAAATCAAGATCGTCCCATGCATGAATGATTACATTTAAGACGCGGAATATGGAAGGAAGTAGCAGCAACTAAAAATAGGGAGTGTCAAATAAGTCAAAATGATGGTTGTGGCAGTGCAATTGAATCCCAGTTGAATCCTAGACTTTTAATTATTGATTTATTTTTATTTATTTAGAAAATTTATATTGCTGCCTAGTCACACTTGGCGACTCAAGGCAGCTTACAGGAATATAAAAACATATATAAAACATAAAACTAATAGAAGAAAATAATCAAAAATAAATTACTGGTAATAAACCAATATAAAAGCCTTTTACCGAGCGACAGCACATCACACAAGCCATTTAATGGGCTCAAACCTGTCCTGGGTTCCTCAGGCCCACTGGCAGAGTCAAGTCTTCAGTGCCTTCCGGAAGAGTGTAGGTGTGGTCAAATATTGCCTGCATATCTAAAAAAGGCAAGAATGGTATTGCACTGCTGTGATTGCCTCTGGACATTTTTGACACTCACAAATGCCCCAGGAAGGGAATATTGCTATGTGAAAGTTAGGACAAGCCAATGTAGAAATAGAAATAGCAATAGCACTTAGACTAATATACTGCTTCATAGTGCTTTACAGCCCTCTCTAAGTGGTTTACAGAGTCAGCATATTTGCCCCCAACAATCTGGGTCCTCATTTTACCGACCTTGGAAGGATGGAAGGTTGAATCAACCTTGAGCCAGTCAGGATCAAACTCCTAGCAGTGGTCAGAATCAGCCTGCAATACTGCATTCTAACCACTGTGCCACCAAGGCTCTGGAGACAGGAAGAAGATAACACGATCCAACATAAACAAACTTGCATTTGATTTTAATGCCTTTTCATTCTCTACCATTTCTCTTTGTTTTATCGCACAAACCCAAATACGGTAGTTCTCAATTAGACCACAAAAGTAGACCACAATTGAGTCCCAGATTTATGTTCTTAAGTGAGACATTTGTTGAGTGAGTTTTGCCCCATTTTACAATCTTTCTTGTTAAAGTTGTTAAGGAAATCATTGCAGTTAAGTTAGTAATATGGTTGTTAAATGAATCTAGCTTTCTCATTGACTTGTCAGAAGGATCGCAAAAGCTGATCATATGACTCCAGAATGCTGCAACCATCTTTTTTTTTTTTTGCAAAAGTTTTATTCAATTTTCACATATTAGAGGAAAAAAAACTTTTTTCAGTGAACAGCATGATTCCAGGTTAACAAACTTGACTTACATTTCATATTCATCTTTCACATTTGATAACTTATCTTAAACTATCTTATATTAAACTAACTTATATTAAAACTAACTTATATTAAACTATATTAAACTAACTTATATTAAACTAACTTATATTAAACTAACTTATATTAAAACTATCCTGTAATCTGCAACTCTTACACTGCAAAAACATATGGA